AGATCCAAGGTGAAGAGGACGAAGGGAGAGTCAAGATTCTTGCCCGCTTTCGTGATGGTTGTGATTCCGGTGAAGAGAAAAAGATACATGGCGTGACATGCGAGAGAGAAGAAGAGACGCCGCGGCGTGAGGAAGAAGTGGTCTCTGAGGAAAGGAAGGCGAGCAGAAAAGAGATAAGCCGCGCGACTCAACCTTTCCTGTCGCCATCTTTTCAGTATAAACTGCATCCACGTAATTGATGGCTGCCAGTCCGTCGTAATAAATTTACGAACATTCATCTTTGAAGAACATAACTGAAAATAATATGATTCGTGCCAACGTTGCTTGGACATTGGTTGGAGGACATAAAACTAAAATTACTAATGAATTCATCTCGAGTGAAGGAGGAGACGCAACTTTTCATTTACCGTAATCTTGTGTCGCAATTCATTGTCAGATTAGGTAAACGTTCGAGTAGTCGGCTCGATGTTACGATGTTGTACGTGATGACTTCTCGCGAACGATGTCGGCGTATGATTAACCCTAAATACTATACGGTTTCACTCGGACGGATGTAATCCTGTTTATACAGGCCGGCCATAATGATACGCACACAAGATCCGTTTCTTGGGGGATTTCGGCTTCTTCGGGCTCTTTCAGCCCCCTCCGCTCGCACGTGTGAACGTTCGTACGTGTGCTCACAGTCCCACAGAGGCGCAGCGACGAGATTTTTATACACTGATGAATATAGAATGATCAAACGCGAGGAAAATGGAGTACAAGTACACTCGGAACAATGTCCGATTAAATATCATCGGATAATCCGGTTACATAATAACAAACGGATACACCCGATTAAATTGTATATCTGATGAAAAAGTGGTCGGTTTTTCAATCGAATTTCATCGGTAACTGCATTTTCATCGGACGTATCCATAATTTAGTCGGAAAACGTAATCGGGGAAAATTAACCGTCGGAAACACTACTTCATTGGTTTATCCGATGACAATTTTTCTCAGTGTAAACTTTCAATAAGCGTGCAAATTAATTAACAAGGAAACAGTTCGCGCGTGATATACCTTATTGCAAGATTTTTCACTGCACGGTATGAGCCGAGGGGTAAGCCGCTGAACAAATCATGTACACCGATGCCTACACTGAAAAAAATTTCTGGTTGAATATGGACGAATCAGATAATTCCTTTAGGATTTACCAGAATTCCTTTAGGATTTACCAGAATTTCTGTAGGATTACAGGAATTCTGGTAAATCCTAAAGGAATTATCTGATTCGTCCATATTCAACCAGAAATTTTTTTCAGTGTACTAAATGCCCGGTGGGCATTATTCTGTTTTCTAACGTTGACGCCAAGACACATTGTACAACGAAATTTCTCACTTCCAACTTAATTTTCGCATCTCTAATCTGACGAGTCTTACATTTGTAGGCACTCATGTAAGTATTACTGGCCGAAACATTGTGTTTTATTATAATAAAGAATTGCCAAGGTCGTTTCCATACTTATTAATATTCTTGAGTTTTTGACTGGCATCACTAAGCTGCTATTTAATCTTATTTATCATGTTTTATCTTATTTTATCTCTATAATGCCCAAACTAATGCCCGAAAATGCCTAGTAACGCCCAGTAATGCCGCAAATCTGTACACCACAATACCCTCAGCGGTTCACCCCTCGGCATGAGCATAACGAAATAAGGACGATTGAAATTACTTCACGAATTGTGTCACCCTGTCGCTACAAAGATCGCTGCTTAAGTTGTACACGGTGAAAGTTGCAAGCGAACACTTTCTATCTTCACAAAGTGACGAATCTTGTCAATTTCGCAAGGTCTAGATTAACATTGGTGGAGTATCTCTCGATTAATCGTCGCGATAGGCGACACTGACTTATTATTCTTATAAGATGCCGCACATTTCTGGTATATCCTTTTCTCTTTTGCGATAATGAAGTTTACATCGATCGTGCGGTGATAATAATTGAGCCGATTCAAGCACGATTTAAATTAGAAGATGATCAAATAGAAGGACAAGAAATGTTTCGCACTTCTCATCGAGAAATGTAAAATTTATCGGGACTGCCGATCTCACGTCTGTTTTCCAAATGTAATGTACTTACGACAGAGTTTCCCCTGTGCGTGTTGGATCGTCCGACATTAAAGTTTGAGGAAAATTGAATGTATCAACGATTACTCGCTATTAACCGTCATTTACGGACTCCAGGAAACTTTGGCGACATAACTTTCCACAAGTAAAATTAATGCTAGATCGCGGCCAAGCGGGACGGTGTAATGCGCGCCGTTCAAGAAATCATGCCGATAATAGCGGCCATTTTGCCGAACAACGTCAAATAAGCGAGCTTTCGCCACCCGTATCTTTTTTCATGAGTAGAAACCTACTTGAGCAGCGATACCATTATACAAAACCGCAAATATCAAGCGGTAGAGGAATCTAGGCATTCTAAACCTTTTTCGCGGACGTCATTACACAAACCACAAATATCAAGCAATAAAAGAATCCACGCGTTCTTGCTTTCTAAGCATTCTTGCGGAGACAAATACCTGTACGACAGTGCGCTCACTTGTCTATAAAATACGAACTTGACGAACTTGGAGTCATTTCTCTCCATGCGTCAGCGACCGTTTAAAAAAAAAAAAGGGATAGGCCAGATACGCAGAGAGGAGGAAATTCTCACGATGCTCGTATCAGGATTCGCACAGAATCCGACACGTTCGGTTACTCGGGGGGGTTGCCTCGCCGACGAGCGCGTCGCGAAAAGATCGGCGACAAGGTGGAGCACGAGAATCGGAGGCGGGATAGGACCATATCACGGCGACTCTTCCTGCGCCACGAGATCCGAAGGGTCTTCGCGCCGGCGGCTGCCGCGGGGGTGAAAGTGGGGTCTTAAAAGGTTCCGGTGGGAAACCCAGCAGGGCGTGAATGGCTCCAGACACGCTGGAGGTGCCCGGAACGTTTCGTTAGAGGCGAGGAGAAAAAGAGCGGGACAGAGAGAGAGAGAAGGCCGTGGAAGCCGGGGAGGCTCCGAGCGCACATGCACACGCGCACACACGTGTCGCGTGTTGTTATGCGTGAACGGGACACACGTGCGCCCGCCCGTCCGCGCGCGAGCGCGCGCGGGCGCCCAGCAATGTCCTCCGAGTCCGCCGCCACACCACCGTTACACCACCACCACCGTTATACCACCACGACGAGAGTGCGCGGGGTCTTTGTTCACGAAAGTTGGGTTTACCTCGTTCTTTCGGTGCGGATCCCGCGACGCGACGCGACGCGACGCGCCGTCCCTTCGCCCTTCTATTTTTGCAACGGCGCGGGCTCCCGTGATATTTCTTGTGAAAATACGCGAGCGTATTGACGCACGCTCGCGAAAAATCGATGAGCGCGAGATAGTAAACAGCGCGAGGCGGAAATGGCTCGGTGTTGCGGAAGCGACTCCTCGAATTTTCTCACGAAGATGGTTATGTAGATGGTTCATTGTAGATCGAGATAATTATGCAAATGGTTGAAACCGCGTAATTCGAGGCATAAACAAGACAGCTGAATACCACATCGGGCGTCTTTGTAAATTCTCCGTACGCTTCTCGAGACAAAATGACTGCACGCAACTGCTCAACGGTCTACATTATCGTGAAACGAAAAAGCGAGTGAACGGGAGGAGGATCGAAGCGAATCGTCCCCGTGGCGTTGCTTAACGACCGAGGGACACTTTTGTATTTCGTCGTACGAGAAACGACCGAGGCGCGTACCAGTCCGGTATATATAAAAACTTGGCCGCGCGAGTCGCCGTATTTTTGTAAACGCGCCGGCTTTAAAATTGATAAGCGGCGCCGCGCGGGCTTTTAATAATTCACGGGTGAGGTGAAACGCTATAAAGCGCGAAGGGGAATCGTTCGCGGGAATTAAGTTCTCGTCGATCCTATTCGTCACGTCGCAGCGCTCCGTAGGCGTTTTCGTGGGTGATTTCGACACGGTCTACGAATAGAAAGGTACACGCGCGAGGGAGAGACAGTCATTTTCTGGGCCTCCTCTCTTTCTCTCTTTTCTCTCTCCCTCTCCCTCTCCCTCTCCCGGGTGTAACGGTATGTGGGCGAGCCGTCAGAGAGAGAGAGAGAGAGAGAGAGAGAGGGGCTTTATCAACGCGGATATACAGCCCGACCCGTCGCGGCTCTCGAGCCTCCCATCCTCTCGAAATAACTCCGCGCCCTTGCCATATTAATTACCGGGATTCATTCCGTCCTCATTTACAATGGGCTAATTTAGCGCGAGGCAACCTCGGCGCGCGATCCCCTGCGCGCGCCCGCGCGAGCACGCACATGAGAGTGACGTCCTTCTGTTTACGAAGCTATTAATCGCGAGAGGGATAATCGCTCTCCTTTATATTGCACGTATCGCGATTGTCTCGACAAAAAGTAAATGCGTCATGAAATCTATATCTCATACTTTTTGTCACACCTAATATATTCTTGCATCCTTGCAAAGCTAAAGGCGATGGTTATTTGAAAAACTGATCGTAGACTCTTCGCACAAAGGAGAAGAAATGGTAAAAACTCAGGTAGAAGTACCTTCTTGCCGTCCACCTTGCCAAAAGAAGGGTACCATTATCGATGTTCGTGAATATCGCATTTTCAGGTCGCCGAAGCGACGAGAGCTAGCTAAAAAAAGCGCCGAGACGCACTAGAAAAATATAAATCTTTGCGTTTCCAGTCGTATATACACATGTAGTACATATGTATGTCCTTATCGTGACACGTCTATGCATATATGCTTACGAGCAGCCGTTTTATGCGTTATTTATATGTATCTACGTTGAAAAATGTAGGGAATGTGAAATGAATCTGTGTGCCAGACGTGGCTTCCACGGCCGCGCGAATATCAAAGTCGGCCGTAGACAAGTTGGAAAAACTAATTTCTCACTTTGCAAGGAAATGTATGGACGTGCAATTATACCATGCTAATGACTGCCATTTCCCGCTGGTGTTTTTCAGCTGCTGGTGAGCGGCGGGCAGCCGACAACGGCGACGTCGCCGGCGATGTCGGGGGGTGCGTTGAGCCCGGGTGCCCTGTCGCCTTCGTCTACGGCGACAACGACGACGGGGGTGGGGCCCGCGGGCACCGGCGGCGCCACGACCCCCGTGGGTGCCGCCACCGGGCCCGGTTGCTGCGAGAACGGCAGGCCCATAATGACGGACCCCGTGACAGGGCAAACGGTGTGCAGCTGCCAATACGACAACGCCGCGAGATTCGCGCTGGGCGCTTATCCTCGGCTACCCACCGCGACTTCCTACTCCTCCTACCCCACGCCGACGCCATCCACCAACGACCAGGGGCCTTACCCCAGCATCGGCATGGACAGCTCTGCGTTCTACTCCCCACTGGTGAGTTCTCTTACGATTATAGCGACGCGTCCACGTTCGCAACGTTAACGAACGATCTTATACCAATATCACGTTTTATTAGATATTAAAACTGCGCTCGCTGTAATTCGTATTAATATACAAGTACATGTACGCAGAGCTTTATTGCGTACGTCAACTGTCACGTGATTGAGATAACATCGTTGTGAATGTTGAACAAATTTTTTGTCACGCAAAATTGATCGGTCTTATTGAGAGTTTAGGGAAGTAATTTTTACGGAATTAATTTTTGCTCCATATCGAGATCCATTCGAGAGGCCTCTCGACCTTTTTGGGGTCTTGAATTCTTTTAAAACATAAAAATTACATATAAATTTCTCGTCGAACCTACGAAAGTTGGTCTTGCGCTTCGCAACGTGTAACGCGGCCGCTGCCGGATGCAGATTGATCGATTCGTCGTACTAGGCGTGCCGGGCGATTATTGCTTCTCCAGTATTAACTTAAGACGGATTAGCACGTGGTGTTGCCGCGAATTAGCTTGGAATCCCGGTGACAGAACCCTCTCTCGGACGTCGGGATCGTGCGCCTTCTCCCCCCACCCCCCACAGCCCCCCTTGATCGCCCAGCGCTCAGGAATTCGTGCGTCTTCGCAGGCTCTGGTGGGTACCGGCTGCGTCGAATTATTCACGCGTCCCTTTCTCGAGAAGCGGCTGATAATCTCGTTTAAGTTTCGATTCGCGGAAGGCGGACGCGCTCGTTACGTTCTCAAGGGGCTGCCGGTGACGAATTCGCGCGCATATGTCACCGGGGAATCCTCCTCGACCGACTGCGCGTTATTTCAATGTCCTGGTCCCGGGGAAGCCAAGAGATGCAGTGAAACGCGTATTAAACCAGTTTCGCACAATCTAAAATTCGCCACGGAATTCTATCTGTAATTTCATTACGGTGTAATATCGAAAATATTTCCTGGGTCGGGAATTGTGTCTATAAAATTAATGGCTGCTCTACTTTCGAGGGAAAATGGCATTTTGTACGTACACGGCAAATGTATGCAACAAGATAAACGATGACAGGAACGCAGTCCGACTGATTTTTCTCTTGTTACGGGTATTTCGCGAACGGGAAGAACCGCGCGGATGCATTACGTTCGCGTTGATAATCGCATTTCCGATGCCATGCCGGATTGGAAAAAAGTGTAGTAGCTAATTAAATTTGAATTTATCGGACAATTATACTAATTGGCTGCTTTTAGGCGGCGTTGTCGATTAATATATTCCTCGCGCGGCCAACGAGCGAGACAAAAATAGAGTTGCCGCGGAGAAGAAAAATCTAGGAAAAAGAAATCGCGTTACGAGATAGCTAATAATGTGTAGTCGGAAACCGCTCCGCTTCGCCCTGGGTTTCGACGGCGCGAGGATTTACATCCGCCGCGCGATATTCATCGCGCGTAATTTGTAGGCAGGGCTTATCTCGAGTGAAATTCAGCGAGCGCATTCGCCGTCCAGGAGACACGTCTCATTCCTCATACGCAATTAGCGGCGTAAATCCGCAATTTGCGGACGCGATTTTCTAAATCGCGTGTAGGCAGCGATCTCTCATCGGCGCGACTCGGTTGGGCTAACGTAATCGCGTATTTACGAGCCGCGGATGGAATCGTCGTAATTCGGCAAAATGGCAAAGGGAAGATGTCAGTCAACGGGACGCTACTTTCACACGAGAGCGCAATTATCGTTAAAGTGAGCTTTTGATAACGACATTATGCGCGGGACAATCAATCTGTAACGGCAATTTCTGCAATGGCGCGGGACGGCGTGCCATTGACGTGCGCCGCAAATGTGTCATTACCTCGTATAATCAGATAATACGTATAGAGCTATCTCTGCAGTGTAGTCTGATTTTCACGGGTCGCGATATTTGTACGACTGAAAGAAGCCATCGGCTTTTTGATGTCGCCGCGTAATCAGCGCATGCCCCGGACAGATAAACGACTGATACGACGCGGGCTCTTATCTGAAACAGCGGAGCGCGGGTAAATCGCACGATACGCCCCGCGATTTTGTATTCTTGTGCCGTATCGCGAATATCGATTCGATATACTTATTTTGCGAGTTAACTCGGACCGCGCTATCGCAGCGCACCTACAATCTAAAATTTAGCATGGCCATCGGGATTTACTACTCAATAAAATCTGCCGTGTCATTTCACAGTCAGCTTCACGTGGTAATAATATCGCGAGGCTAATGTATTTAACTAAGCACGCTTGACGGATCGCGTACACGCGCTGGCCCGATACTTCGCAGAACTATCATTAGAGATCTGAATATTTGTGGCGGGATCGGCGTAAAACATTGACCATCGATAACGAGGGGAAAACCGCTGACTAAAATTATATACACCAACGCCTACTAATGCCCAACGGGCATTACTTTATCTTTATTATCTTAGTTTATCTTATATTGATCTTGTGTTTTATCTTCTTCTATCGGATTTTATCTTTATAATGCCCGAAAAATGCCTAGTATGCCCAGTAATGCCCCAAATCTATACACCACAATGCCCTCAGCGGTTTTACCCCTCGGTCGATAATAATAGTGACGTAGTGACGTATAGTTACACGAGAAAACGAGCATTAATTGAAATTAAAATGCGTAATTATCGCGCACCTCTATTTTGAATTATGCATTTCTTTTGATATACCGATATTGATACGTCGAACACGGAAACGCCCTCGGAATACGAGTACCTCTTCTGAGGCAAAAGGCCGTCGATGTTTCTCCCGTTTCTTTTTTATTCATAAATAAAATTCCTGCACAGAAATATATTCCGCATATGACATTCGCGAATCTCGCTTATCGCGCGGATGTGCTAAACGAGATCGTCTCCGTCAAACGAATCGGCGATGAAGGAAGGGAAGAGGCGGACACCGAGAGGATGGGAAGTAGGGAGAGGAGAGTGCTCTCATCGCTCTCTCGCGAACGAGTTTATAGAATCAATACGCGGGATGCCATGAAACAGGGACGGGAGCCACGGGGGATATCGCGGCGGCGGGAGTGCGCGAACGCGAGAAGGGACGGAGAGGAGGACGTAACTGCGCGAGATAGGGAAGCAACGGTATAGACGGAAACCTCTTCTCATCAGCCGACGGATTCGTCTTATTTCACGTAGCGACGGTGCCGGCGTAACGGATTCCGAGATTCGCTCTGGCGACATTTTCCTCGGGAATGCCGCAGCGCGCGGCGCGGCGTTTCGCGCTTCGAACGATGCTTCTCTTCGCTTTTTTTCTTCCTCTTGATGCTTCGCACTTCACTCGAATTGTCTGCGATGCAGTTGCATTAAAGACGGTCCCCCGTAACGCGATGGCAAGTTAATACTACACCTATAACTACACTATATAAAAATAATTAACTAAATTACTATTCATTGCCTGGATATTTTTACAGAATAATAGTTAAAAGCTTTTATTTTATACTAAATTTTTTAAATAATTGGCATCACTGTGTCTATATTACTGTAAAAATGATATTCCTGGACTACAATTGTTTTACTATGCAATTATAATTTCAAATACTACATATTTTTCTATCAGTGTACGCGAGAGATTCCGTTGTCAAGATAGACATGCTCCATAAATATTTGTCTGAACAGTCGAAGCGAATAAGTGACTACGAATAATTGACTGTACCTTCTGCGTGAAATAGAAATCTACCATGTCGAATATCTGCAAACCAATGACAAAAATAAAAGCAGCAAATTAAATATTTGTTGTTTTTTCTTAGAACTCGTTTTGGCCGAATATCAAGCCACCTGATTAATAACGAAAATGCTCGAATCTGCAATATTTGTAGGACACTAAACGGTAGCCAAAATTGTATAAAAACTTGGATATTCATCCAACGGCATCCGTATCAATAGCGATATTACGCGGTCGTGGAGGAGAAGCGCGCGTGTCTGCCGCAATACGAAAGTCGTAACGTTTCGATTCGCGATATCGTGTGTTTATTTTACGGCCCATTGAAAAGCGTAACACGCGTAGCTTTCTTAATCGTAGATTGTTACGCTTTTGTAATTGGCACTTAAACGCGGCTGGCGTGCAATATTGCCACGCGCTGCATTTAGTCGCGCGCGTGTAATGCATCGGGAATCGCGTAAAATAATTGACGTAATCCGTGCATTTGCGAATTCAACAATTGGCGAGTACGATCGACCGATGATTTCTTCAGCAGCTCGTAATTATCGATACAACAACATTCTCTCGGTCACCCTCGTCGGTTTCTGCAAAAGACCGTAAAAAATTTTTCATAGCGCTGAAGAAGTGTTTAAGTCGAGGGGGAAACCGCTGAGGGCATTGTGGTGTACAGATTTGCGACATTACTGGGCATTACCAGACATTACTAGGCATTTTTTGGCCATTAGTTTGGGCCTGCTGGGGCATTATAAAGATAAAATAAGATAAAATAAGATTAAACAAGATAAAATAATGCCCGCCGGGCATTAGTGGGCATTGGTGTACAAGATGTTGGTCAGCGGTTTCCCCCCTCGGTTCAAGTTCTTGTACAAGTAGGTATATTATACATATACATTGTAATAACCAGGTGTCACAGTGTTGTTATGCGGTTACCATTCTTAACGCGGATAGATATTTGATCGCGCGGGTGAGTCCCGCTGTAATTGAGACTGATGAGCCGAAGGACGAAGGGATTCACCCTTGCGCCCGTATTGGTTTAGTCCTGGCCGTGCGAAACCGCAAGAATGCCATTTGTCGCGCGAGACGGCGGGACGCGCGTCATAGTTTTGCATCTTTATCGGCATAAATTGCAGTCCGGCCGGTCAATCGTTCGTGGAATTTCAACGCCGTGGCGTAATTTGGCGCACGCGACCATCACTGCCGGCGCTCGGGTGACGGACGATACGACAGGGTGTAGTCCGGAATGCCATAAGCGTCCCGACTGCTGAGAATTTTGAGTATTTTCACGATGGGTCGTACCGTCCCTTCTGTTCATAACGAAATAATATCGTTTTCCTCGAAAAACAATAAAAGAGAAACAACGGGAAGACCTTGTAAAAAAAAGTTACCCTCGTTTTGCATCCGAACGTTAATATGTAATCTTTTGAAGAGATTATACAAAGCAAGTGTATTTGAATGAATATATTTTAGTTACGTGACTAAGAGCCAGTTTCACAAACGTCGGTTAACTGTTAACCAGAGTTCAGTCGACTCTCTATCTTTTTCTGTCTTATTATCTAAGAAGAGACAGAGAATCAATTAACCTTCGGTTAGAAGGTTAACCGACGTTTGTGAAACTCGCCCTAAAAGTAAAAAAAAACAAAGCGTTTCCTTATATTATAGCCATAAATAGTTACAGTAAATACGACTATATATTTTTTATATTTTATAACTTCCATGCTCTTTTAATATTTTTATTTTCTTTGCGTTTCTTCCTCCCTTCCTTTGATCTTTTTCATCGGATAGTTAAGCAGGAAGCACGTGCTCCTGACGATGCAAATCGACGGACCGATTCGACGGGCATTATAATATAATAAGAATCAGATTAGCATTGAATGAAGTGGGTAATGCGATGGATTGTTGAAAATGCCCTGTAAGACTCACAATGTGCAAAGTAATTTATTAAAAGAATAAGTACAAAACGTTATCCATATAATAAATATATAAATAAATACTACGTGAAAATTTTAAGCGATGCCATTCTAAATTGTACCTAGAAATCGTACCGATTGCTCACAAGAAAATCGACGTGAAAGCAAGGCGTGATTTTAAAGAAATTACATACATTTTTGTATCGAATAGAGTAAGCACGGGGAGACAGGGAGAATAAGCAAGTACTTTGTCGCAGAATGTATACGGAGTTATGCTTTTAGAGCACCCTGTATAGCAGACAATTATAGGCGCTATTGCATTAACTTGATGGACTATGTCGAGCCCACAGCGACACGGGATATCAAGTTAGAGCCACCTCGCTGTCGCGCCCCCTAATGCGTCGCATACGTCGCAAGATTTGGGGCGCAACACAACGATTATTGCTACCTTAATACAGGCGTGCTCGTATAATCGGTTAAACCGGCGACCGGTGACCCTGTGTGACTGTGCACAGTCGTAACAATAGTCCAAAGCGTCGACGTCGGACCACCCGCAGTTCGCCATTAAAGCCGCTTCTGAAAAGAAGAGAAATAAAGACGAAGATACATACACGTACGCACACACTGACGCGTATGCCGGACTCCCTGAAGAGGGAGACTCACGGCGAGGTGGGACCAAGGGCCGTGAGCAAGGCGAAAGAAAAGTGGGAGGGAGAGCCAAGGACACCCGTTAGGGTCTTCGAAAATCGAAATGAAGGGTAGGGGCGGACGAAGAGTTAAAAAGGTGAACGCCGACGACAATGAAGACACGGCGACGACGACTAGATGTAACACGAAACTCCGTGGCGCCAAAGAAACCACTCCTGAGCCGCTACACTAATAATATCCCCCATTGTGCTACCATTAGCCGCGTAACGTGCCGCCACGTCCCTTCTCCTTTCCCACCTGCGCTCCTCGCTCATTCTCTCCTTCTCTTTTCCATTCTTTCCTCTCATATCTCATGTCCTTTCACCCATTTTTTTCGCCCGTCCTTTACCGTATGCCCCTACAATGCATCGTGTGACAACATTATATGCCGCCTAACTAACGTCTATGCCCGGGTTATGCCCTGATTAAAAACCCACGGCCTCCTTTCATTCGCCTCTTAACCCCGTCGGGATGATGAAGACGAGTGTAAAAGATGATTGAAAGCTTCCTTTCAGAGACACCTATTCTGCTCGCATAATCTTTTTAAACTACGAACCGCGCACTGTGTGCGCAGATCAAATATTATGTTTATACGATCGCTACGATTCCTTGCGGCTTTCCAGTCTATCAGCGAAAATTGAGATGGATTGGATCGAACTTCTAAAGGATTCCTCGACGGGCTTGCGATAATCTCTCTCAGCATGCAGAACATAATCTGTAGCATTAACTGTAATGGATCTATATAGTTTCCTGAATCGCCCGTGTCACGCGAGGATCGATATCGCCGCGGTACCTTTTTTTTTTTCCTTTAATTTTAACATCGCGATAGAGAGATAGCGCGTCGATAGCATGTTTACATTGTAGGAGAATTTATATGCGCGATGCAGCGACGTGCTCTAAATAAATTAGCGCTTATCATGCACTCTGCTCTTGCAGGGTAATCCGTACGGGCTGAAGGACGCGACGGGGATGGGCATGACGGCGGACATGGGTGCTGCCTGGGGCACGGCCGCCCTTCAACCTGCCGCCACGGGTTACTACCCTTACGATCCAACCCTGGCCGCCTACGGGTAAGTTTATCGCCAGGTTTCATGGTCTCTCTCGGCTCCATTAGATTAAACTACCAAGGAAAGAGAGAGGGAAAGAGAGAGAAAGAGAGAGAGAGAACGACCCTTCCCTCTTATCCCCCTGTCCTGCTGCCTCCGCGCGCCGCCATTAAAACAAGAGTCACGATCCCGTCGTATTCGCCACGTATACTCCGCTGGAAGCGTTTCTGCGCGACGACGGTTATCGTTATCGCGAATCCGTAATATCTCCCCCTTGGTCGCGCACCTGGAGAAGCGCACCGTTTGTGGCGTATGGACCGTTAAAGTCGCGCAAGATGTGAGCCGCGACGCTGCTGAGACCGCACAGAGACCGCAAGCCGGCGTGGAGTAGCTTTTACGATATACGATGCGCTGAAATGGTCGTCCGGCTTAAACGTCCATCTTTAATCTGTAATCGCGATGGTAAGCAGATACAGCTCGCTCGCGCACGTCGACCGCAAGCGTAACTACATTAGTACGGTAGCGTCTGATATAATCGTCATCGATCGACTTGACATTCGGGCCGAAGTAGTCGCCCACGATTTCCGAATTCTGTCGAACCCGAAGGGGTTGAAGGTACCGGCGCTCGAGTTAGGCCAAACACGACGGACGGCTACAAAATGGCTGTAGGCAGCCGAGTGGGCGTATATAATGGAGGCTTCCAGGTTGGACGTGTGTACACACGTACACCGGCGTGCACCGCGTATACAGATATACACAGCCACACGTATCGCCACATCGCGAGCGTAGGGAGAGCAGTAGGTCTCTCTCCGTAGGAGAGCGAGTGAGTGAGTGAATTTATTGATTGGCTTCCTCCCCGGGGTTGGCTCGCTCGTTCGCCAGGCCTCTCTCTGCTTTACTCACCACTCTACTCTCGGCTCCGCTCCGGCTGTGCTCTCTCGCTCTATCCCCGTCTCCGTCTCTTTCCCTCCCTGGCTCTAAATCCCTCTCTATCTCTCCCTCACTTCCCCCCCCCCCGCTCGTTCCTCCCTCGAGTACGTCTACTCCCTTTCGACTACTTCCTCGGCCACCTCCGTATCCTCCGAACGAGTCGGCTCCCACAGGTGCTTTACTTGCTTCGCTTAGCAACCCTCGTGTCCGCCTGCCGCGCACACACGCACACACACACACACAACACTCGTACGTACGCACATACGTTCAGGAATAGGCAAGCGCGCTGTGACTCACGCAACGGGAGGCTTCTCCCTTCCTCTTCCAGAGCCACCCCTTCGGGTAGTTGTATAGTCTGCATGTGCTCGGCAGCGGCGGCGGCAGCGGCGGCGGCGGCGGTGGCGGTGGCGGCGCCTACCAGAGAAACTCCGACGGTAGGCATTGTTTATCATGGAATTCAGCGCCCTTACTGCTTCGCTCTCTCACCACCTCTCCTGGACAAGCCTCTATTAATTTACTTGCTTAATAATACGACGGCCGCTCTCTCGCTCGCTTCTCCCTCATCTCCGCCCCCGACGATCGTTCTCTTCCCTTAACAGGTTACTACGTGCCCCGTCACTTTCGACGCCGTCGGGCCGCTATTGTTTTACCGGCAGCGTTGAAAGTTGCGGACTGCATGGTATGATACAAGAAGGGGGTATCCCACGCGAGGCCCGAGGGTATAAATTGAAACGGTTTGATTGGGACACTCCGACGCGAACGCTCTGATTACAGGAAATGAGAAATATGTCGTTACTGGCTCCGCGAAAGGGTTTCTTTTGGGGCACTTCAATCGAGAAGTGCTTTTTTTCTTCCTATTGTCTTCGCGTAAATTGATTGATTTCTCCGTTTTTCTTCATTCCCCCCCCCCCTCCCCGCTCCCATTGAGAATCTTGCTGCTTTATTATTTACTGAATGATAGATGAGTACATCTACTTACTCTCTTTGTGCGATAAAGCAATATAACAAATATTTTTAATTGCTATTAAAAATAAATAGAAAATTCAATATCAAAGGCATTGTCGTATTGTAGCTTGGAATAACGAAACATTGCTGCAATATACACGGCGTAAGAAATGTATAGAGAATAAAATTTCTTTCCTCTCGCGTGTGTATTGTTAGATCGAGAATTATATAATGAATCGTGCACATTTCACGATGCTACAATCAGAACTGCCACTCTTTTTATCCATTAAAAGATAGGACACCGTGTCAGCGAATGCTGCAATGATACTATCTTAATTTTAACCCTATCGGGAGATACCGCTTTTTGTTATCAACGATCGTTTATAGACGTCGGTTGCGTTGGGATCATAGAAACGCGCGGCCTTTTTCTCTTTGATGATTACTCTTTGATTTCCCGTAACCGGTTACTTATTCGCGTCTTCTCTATCTTTTCTTCTATCGTCTGAGAGATGCCTGAAACGGCATCTAATACTAGAAAAATCGCCCGACATGTCGGCGTATAGAGCACGTACGAGAGCGTGCGCGTTTTACTGACCGATGAGGGTAAAAAAAATTTCTCGCCGAGATTCTCTCGCGTCGTCTTACGTTTCGCTTGAAACGAAAATCGAGGCTAGTCGCGTATAGTACAGTTCCATTATTTCACTGATTATAGGAGTTGTTTCTATGCTTTCCGTGACTGCCTATCCCGCCTTGGACTAATGTGTAAGGAAAAGGCTGCAAAGTTGATGATTAGACACGGACGTATCGGTCTATCGTAGGACGCAGCGATTGCGCGAGTACAGGGGGCGGACCTTGTCGATGGCAGTACGGAGCAAACGCAGCCGTAAGCTATACGCGATTGCACAGAAGAGAGGGTGTATGTGTGTGAGAGTGAGAGAGTGAGAGAGAGAGAGAGAGAGAGAGAGAGAGAGAGAGAGAGAGATATGCAGTAGATTGGCTGGTTGGCCGGTAGGAAACGTTTGCACATCCGAACCCGGGCGTAACTATTGAAGCTACCTATATATAATATATATATATGTGTGTGTGTATGTGTGTATATATATATATATATACACGGCTATATCAGGCTGGAGGACGTAATTACGCGCGTTCTGCCAATATTGGTTAACCTTTCGAGGTTGACGCCACCATATGCAAAGCCTCTAATGAGTCGCTCGAGTGCTGCCAGTGTCTAGCATTACGCGCTCCTCTATGCACCCTTTCGCATCGTTATTATCCCCCTTAGAGGAGAAATTCCTACCGTTTCGATCCTACAGTTTCGGCCTTGCCCTCCCCCCGTGAGCCCTGCCGACAATTTCGTTTCGCATATATGATACGCCTCTCTCCGTCCTTTCACTCCCACGGGCGCGGGGCGGGGGCACCGCACTTCTAAATTGACGTTAATCTCCGACCTACGCAGAAATACGTGCGGCGATGCGATAACTGCGGGTTCATTTTGTTATTGCGCGAAATCCATTTGCCGAATCCGATATCGTGCACACGTCAACATTTGATTATCGGCCTTCTGACGAGCGATTGACTGACAATAAGAAAGATATTCGTTCCTATTCGTTTACCGTTAGTGTCGGATTAAAGATATTTTCAAAGCGCTGAAGATATTTTTAAACAAGTCACTCGAAACGCCAGCTCGGATTAAAGATTGAAATGCACATGTACATCGAGGTACATTTGATATTTGTACGTTTATTGAACACACGTTAAAAATCCATACACGCTGTGCTCCTCAAGGACGCTCGTCGCACGATTTCGCTTTAGCATCGACAAAGAGACGATAAGAGCGTGTCGGAGAATTTTATGATAGCAGATAGCGCCATTCACTCGCAATCTACTAGTCCGTGATCTCTCGCATTATGGGCACAATGCTTAAATCTTTACATACATCCGGCTTCGTTTCCAATCCATTTAGAATATGTATATACATTCCTGTTTATACATACTCAAGAACTTCGTATTTGCCATTTCCATTTTAACTAATATGTATTACGAAATTGCGATGCTAGTGAAGAATAACGCAACATCTTTTATGTCTTCTATATTATTTGATATCTGTTCGCGCACATCTTCTTTTTTAATTCACAATAAAACTCGACTCGTACCGCATATCAACGTCTGACCGAGCGCGTCGTGACCAGCGAATAACGGGCAGGATTTTTCACGAATCAACCGCGTCGGAATGTGCTACAAGAGGGAAGAGAGATTGCACTGGTCTTGCATATTCGCCAAGTTTTTGCTTCGCTTCCATTTGTCGCCGCATCTGCATCGTCACATATACAAGACGCGATCGCATCCGAGCGACTCTCTCCCGGCACGCAACGGTACACTTAGTATGTAAATGCCGATGCGGACTCGTTGTGTATGTATAATAGATAATTGCGAGGCGCAGCGCCGGCGCGGCCCGGTACGTGGGAGGCAGTCAAAATTGCGCATATTAACGAAGGGGGCGAACTTTGATTATATCTGCAAACTTGTATCGTAGTCCGCTGTCGATACCCGACGAGTCTTCGACTGGAAACTGTTACCTTCCTTCGCGAAATCGTCAACTTTTTCATTCTTTACCCCTCGGATGCTTCGCAACACTGACGATCCAGAAGATGTAGACTCCTCTCTGTTCTGTGTCGCGAGGAAAAAACACGTCCGCAATAGAATTAACAGTTTTCCACCGTAATACAGTGCGTTTTAGTGTTTCGTCTTTCGTGAATGCCACCATACGGTCGCAACTGCTTCAACGGCGGATGCGGAAGCCTATCGAAATCGATAGGACTCCTTCAAGGACGTGGCCGCTTTCTTACGGTAGCACCAGGCGAAAGGAGGGACTGCGGTTTAAGGAGGGCAAAAAGAGAGAAGGAAAAAAAAAGGAAACGTAGAAGTCGAGGAGAGGCTCGTTTTACTGGCGACGTATCCCGGCGGCCGCCTTTCCCTTGTACGAGGGAGTTTAATAGAGGGTGAAACGTCCTCCACCTTCTTCGAGTCAGCCTCCTGCGGATTGCCGCTTCCATCCCCATCGACGCGGTCATCTCGGCAATCTCGGATGCGGATCGCAGTGGTAATCGGAGGGTAGTACGGGGGAGGAGGTTGCGCAGCCTTGTGCTCGTTGAGTGAAAGCGGGAACCTAATAATTCGCCGTTCGTTCGATTTACCTCGATTTCCGCTTTTCTCTTTCTCGCTCTTCGACTTCCTCCCCGCGTGTGTCGAACGATTTCTCCGATCCGACCGCCGCCCGTCGCGCGCTCGTCTAATTCGATTACATAAAGTGGAAACGGATACCTGACAACGAGCGTTTATTTTTAACAGCGATTCTCGATCGCCCCAATGAAAATGAAGAACACGCGATTGACGATTATTTCCGTATATGTGTAACATCGGGGAAAATAGCCGGCATCATAAATCGAGTGACACGAGTCGATGGCCGTTGCGGTTTATCAAGCGTATTTGCTTAAATTGGTCGGACACAATTTTAAATCAGTCATCCATCATTTCTCACAACATTTGTAGAATTCTTCCAAATCGTTGGGAATATTATTCCGAAAATTTATCGGTTAGCAATATATTTCGATTGCCGCCCCAAGTCGATAATAGAAAATGTTCATTTATCCCTAGCCTGACGAGCAACAGCAGCAGGTATCTCGTCAGGATGCGTTCCGCTCGAGGCAAAACATTGTTGCTAACCACCACCATCGCCGCTATCGCGAACCACTGTGCCTCTTCCATCGTTTCACAGCCGATGGATCGTCGATAGGTATTTTAGTACATAACAGTACCCGCCTATAACATACTCGCACACCGGGTTCTTCGTAAGGGAGAACGGGGAGAAATGGAAGAGAGAGAGAGAGAGAGAGGCGAGAGGAGTAGACGAGACTGAGCGAGCAAGTGAGAGGGGGTGGGCGAGAGGGGATCGATCGAATCGCCATTACGGCGAGTGAGTGCCGGGGGTGCACGATGGAATCACGCCGCCGCTGGGGGTTTATTCCCCGTATATATTTGCCGGAGTATCACCCTCGACCCAGTAGGATGCCGCCCCCCCTATCCCAGAGGGGTTTGATGTTCGGCAAGGCGGAGAGAAAGAGAAAGGGAGGGAAGGGTAGAGGGGAAAAGAGAAATAAAGAGAGAAAGAGGTACGGATCTAGGAAAGCCGAGGGCTCGTGCAGAGCACTTCGGACTTGCCAAAATCTGCGGGGAATTCGCACCCTCGACACGATACCGCTTCTCGAGTGGAGTGGCCCGTTTCGACAAATATGGAACAATAGCTACCTTCTGGCAGGCGAGCGTTGCCTAACGGCGATTACTCAATCGTTAATAATACATTTGACACTTATAAACGAGACACGACTAGGTAATCTCGGTGTGATTTCTACATTTCTTCACGAAAAAATATATGTGTCCTCTATTATGAGATAGGATTCTAATACGAGGTAGCAGGTTTTCAACGTACAAATTCAATCACAAACCATTTTTCGCAACGATTACACGATCTAACGATCAATTTTCCACTAAACAGATTTCACTCCAAGGGCAATAAATTCATGGTGATACAAACAGATGACGCCCATTAATTTAGCAGAAACTCCGCTGTCTCACATTAGGAGCCTCTCTAACAATAGGAAAACTTTTCTCTATACATATAAGCACATGTGTGGAATAATTAGCTGATGATGGAATTAAGAAACGCTCGTACATATTATGTATGGTTTATCGAGCTCTTTACATCACGGTTTCCCCCGTATCGCACTTCCTGTTTACAAGACGCTGTTTAATCAAGCGGAATGGAATTTTTACAGAATTTCGGGGGACGTCTCATTGTAAGCTGTCGTTTTCGTTGTCTTTTTCAGGTATGGCGCTGGATACGACCTGGCCGCGCGGCGAAAGAATGCTACGAGGGAGTCGACAGCAACCTTGAAGGCTTGGCTGAACGAACACAAGAAGAACCCGTATCCAACGAAAGGCGAGAAGATTATGCTGGCTATCATTACAAAGATGACGCTGACCCAAGTCTCCACTTGGTTCGCGAACGCGCGGAGACGTCTCAAAAAGGAGAACAAAATGACCTGGGAACCGAAGAACAAGACGGACGACGATGACGACGCGGTGCTCACCGATTCCGAGGATAATAAGGAAAAGGACGATCTCGCGTCGGACAACAGAGGCGACCGGGTCGGCGAAGAGGCGAGGCGGGGCCTCGACGATACCGGTAAGCCTTTTTTCCTTTCCACGCACGCATGATATCCGTTGCCCGACAGCGAGTCAGAATTCATTATTCAGTAAGACGCTGCCTCCAGATACGAGCCGTCAGGTTTCCACGTGGCTATCTGCGAGAACGATTTAGAAAATTGCTCGTAGTCGCGGGGCGTGTTGACGTTAACACGCGAAATCTTGGTTCGCGCCGCTAACAGGACTACAAACTATGAAATGAAATGAAACGAGGGGCGTGTCCGCTAACGTCGCTGCAGAAAAAATGTTGGGAGAGTAATAATAATATTCAAAACGGCTAGCCGGCAGCGTCTGCTTCGAGAGACAGTCTCTGCGGAAGAAATTGCGTCGGCGCGGCATAATATTCGCAATACAATTCGTTGGTGCTATCGGGGAATTTCCATCGTCAGAAACGTCCGATTATTATCAATATTGCGAGAAGTATCGTCGGTCCAGAGTTGAAATCTCGTTTCTCGTGGGTAGGTCCTTGCGCGAGCAAGGCGAACCGATCTCTTTGACTTCGGAATGTCGATGGCGTGTTTTCCTCGCGTGACTAGTTTCCCCGATATCGAATACCCATCAGCTGGCATTTCTCGTATTGCGCAAGTATGCATTTCGCTCACAATGAGTCGGACTTACGACTTCACTTCGGGCGGTCGTCAGTTGTTCCTAAAAGATTGCCTGAATCTTTTTTTGAGAGAGCTCGTGTACCGTTCCTGGACCTTCCAAATATATCTTCGCTCCGTGCTGCGAGCGAAAGATCGATGATAGGGCTTTTAGCCTTGTCGCTCGCGTACCTGTCGTTCCTCGAGAGCTTCTGTGGGTCGCCCATCAACCGTGAATTTTTACGGCCGACGATTCGAAAATGCGCGGCTGCAAATTTCGATGCGTTTCAGCGCTCGCTTCACCGCAAGCACATGCTCATTAGGGACCCGAATGCCACGACTCGTTTCCCCAATAGTGTGGTATCGAAAATATTCATATCCCGAGAGCGGCTCGCTCGTCGAGGCCCGTTTCTTCGCGCGGCGACCGGAAACGGCGAGTTAGGAATTCGCGGCGAAACGGAGCACGCGGTGCGGAGCGAGCGGATTCTACATCACGGGGGCGGACATAATGGTTCACATGTGGGTAAACACAGTGACGGGTTGCGGGTTGCCGCGCGAAGAGATTAATGGCCCTCGGTTTGGTCCCCCGGTGGATCGGGCCGACGTCGTTGGTATTGGTACTGGGCACCCCGGACTGGACTTGTGCTTGCCGCGGACGTGTAGGTGTACATATACGGTGCGCGAGGAGCACGTAATTGTATGCGTGCGCGCGTGCAAGAGGGAGAGGGTGCGCCCGGACTGAGTAGCCATCCGTAGACCCATATCCACTCCGTGCCATGGAATCCATACATATATATACATACATATGTATACATGTGTCTCTATATACATATAGGTACATACACATTATATATATGTATAAAATATATATATACATGTATGTTACTTGCACATATACACATATTATACACATACATTGTGAATGTATATAGATACACACGGGAGAACGCTAGTTCGAGGTACGGTGATGTATCGGCGCCCGCGGCGAGACGAATGGTACAGACCCTCCTATGGCCACCATTACCCCACCGCACATTGGCCAATATCGGATATCTCTCTCTCTCTCTCTCTTACACATACACACACACATACACACACACACCACACACACACTCTCTCTCTCTCTCTCTCTCTCTCTCTCTCTCTCTCTCTCTCTCTCTCCTTCTCCTTCGATCCGCTCTTTCATGTGCTCTCGTCGTCTCGATCCAGGACACCTAGATCCTGCTACGTCACGCGTCCTGCAATGGCTCGTAATTTCAAAGGATCGGCTCGAGCGAAGGAGAGCATTCCGACGATGCACTGAAAACGGCTGACGAGAACCGATGGGAAATTGATTCGTCGCGCCAGTTCTTCCGTGTAAGATTGCGCGAAAGCACCGACGTTGGCGTCTTTTACGTCTAAAATTTTCATGGTTCTCTTCTTCCTATATAAATAGCGGGAACGTGTATCGACACTTTAGTATGTGGACGGATACACACGTATACGCCTTCACTCGCTCTGTGCCGGTGACCTTTAGAAATTCAAAGGGGAGCTTTTGGCGCGCTCATGAATTTCTACGCCGAACCGCTGAGGAAGATAGGTCACACGGACTGTCAGCCACCTATGCGGCGAAGGTTGAAATATTCGTATTCAAGTAGAATATATATTCAAACTCTCGGGCTTTCGGAACCCGGCTGCTATTGTTACATAAAGTTAGACACGGGCAAGTTCGGTCTGTCCTGTAAATCACCGAAATGTAACATCAGAATAGAAAAATTATCATGCGCTTATAAGTTGCGCGCGAGTAACGATCTGACCGGGTAAAGCCAAGCCGAATACAATTTAGTTATTCAATTTAAACACAGAATCCGCCCGCACGGCACGAAGATTACGAGATTAACGTCTGATAAAAGAGGGTCAAAAGTTAAAGAGCCACTTGTGGACTCGACGGTAGTATCTATTTAGTTGGCCCATAAGAGAGAAGTTCTCCCTTTATAAGGGGGTGCGAGCACCCTAAACCGAAACTCTCTTTTTCTCACCTTCTCTCCACTCTCTCTTTCTCTCTCTCTCTCTCTCTTTCATTCTCTATACCCCCTCTCTTTCTCTCCCTGCGTCTCTCTTACACTCAAGAATATAGCAGCGCGCCCTTCGTGCTTGGGAATTATCGCTTGACGACCCATCAAGTAAACCCTCTGCCGACACATTCGAACCTCTTAATGAAATTCTCACCCCTGACTGACTGCCTGGCTTGGCTCGGTGGCTGCCTGGCTGGCTGGCAGACAGTCGGTACGATCCGTGGAGTGCCCCGAGAGACGACGGGACAGAGAGATCGGAGAAAAGGAGACGGATACGGTTCACTTTTTCTCTTTCTATCTCTCGCTTATCCACTCGCTCGCGCATTCTCCCCACTCATTGCCCCGAAGGGAAACTGAAATCTCTCGCGCCCCAAAGTGGTTGAAGGCTTCGCTCCCTTTTTTCACAGCATCCCTTACAGCTTAACTGTATAAGGGGCGTAAGGGAAATATCCGCACTCTCCTGCCGCTCGACGACCCTCCATGACGATGGAATCCCGTTACGAAGACCCGCGTTCTACGTTTCACTTTTGCGCATCGAATATTGTAAATCATTAATGCCCACGCTTTTTTCATATTAATCCACTTTCACGAATCACCTTCGGCGAACGCCAAGCAATATTTCATGCATAATATCTTTTATTTATTCTGACGCTTTACACGGTTTCTTTTCCAACAAGTCTGTATATAATCTCTTGGATTGTTTTCAGAACCAATGAGGCATGTGAAAGCGGAACTTTTACAGCACGAGAAGGATCTTGACGACGAGGACGAGTTAGATCTCGAGGACGACCGCCGGCGGAACGAGCATCCCTTTCATCACACGATGCAGCATCATCATCATCACCATCAAGGTTACGGCGGCGAGGACCACCTGAAGGAAGAGGGAATCAAGTCGGACTGTAGCGCGGGCGGTGTGCCGATCCCCGCGACGAAACCGAAAATCTGGTCCCTAGCGGACACGGCGGCGTGTAAAACGCCGCCGCCACCGTCGCACCCCCATCATCAGCAGTATCATCATCTGCATCACCAGCAACATTACCCCCAGCAGCAGCAGCAGCAGCAGCATCACGTGCCCAATCAAGGACATCATCATCACACGCAACAACCGTGGCTCGGTCCAGGAGGCGCAGGAGGTGGTGCTGGCGGCGGGGGCGGCGGCGGCGGCGGCGGAGGAGGAAACTTGGCAAGTTCGTTCGCTCTGCCCTCCTCGGCGGGGATGAGCCCGTCGGCGGCGGCAACGGCCCCCTATTCGAGCGCTACCGCGAGATACGGCGGTTTCCTCTCGTCCTCGTCCGGCGGCCAGCTCCATTACAACCCCAACTCGTCGTCGGGCTCGAGTTCGAGCGCGTCCTCCTCGGCGGCAGCGGCGGCGGGGTTTCCAGAGGTTGGCACGGACACTCCACCCCAGACACCGCCCAATATGAAGGTGGCCACGCCGAACGGAGTGATCCAGGCACCGCCGGGCGGTTACTGTCCTGGTGGCAACGCCGCTAGTGCCGCAACTAATGGCAATCCTAATATTCCCTACGGCGCGAATCATCCCGGTGGCGGTGGTTATCTGTCGACGAGCTCGGGCTCGGCCAGCAGCGCCTCGTCCTTCAATTCTCGACTGCAGAGCTCGCCTCACAAGGACTTTTCGCCAGTCGGCCAAAATTCCATTCTCCACCAGCATCAAACCACTGCCAGCTTGCCACCCACGGAAGCCACCACCGCATTTAAACCGTTCTACAAAGGGTGAGTGGAAGATATGCTCCGACGTCATGTCATTCTTTCGCGCGATAAAAAACATTCTCGTTAAAAAATTATGAGAAAGGACTAAGAAGAGTACGTATTTTGTTCCAGCTCGCAATCGATGGGTAGCGGCTTCGTCTCGCCGGTTTAAGAGCCAGTGCCGAGGTCCAGAAAACGATAGTCGTCTTTCCCAAAGTAAGTGACAGTACTACGTTATTCTGTCCGGCCTTTTCGCAATTGTCGCTCCTCGTTCCGTGATTACGAACCACGCCACGTGTACGTACATCGGGAAATTTCCACTACAGAAAAATCGACTTAAAACTCTTCGTCGGTCTGTAGTATATTACGGTCGCGTTAATACCACGGCGAGCGGCGTTCGTAATTTACTTTAGACTGTAAAAGAAAGAAGAAGCGCCGATGAGATGGCGAGCGGGAGAGGGGCCAGACGAGAGGGAGGGAGGGGGGAGAGGGCAGAAAAGGTAAGTTGTCCGAAGCAACGGTACATGACCGGCTTATCGGCACGAAAATCGATACAACGATTCTCGCTTGCGCGAACGGCGCGAAAGGCGCGCCGGTCGAACTGGTGTTGCGCCAAACTCGCGCACGGCGAGACACCACGGGAACAATCGATAAGAAATTAATATCCGGCGTGTCGATTGGTCGTTAAGCCGAGCGACCCGAGTTGAAATAATAATGGTATCGGACACACATTGAGTAGCGTGGGTAGTCCACGATGGTAGAGGCGACTGACTGAGAGGAGAGAGAGAGAGAGAAAGAGAGAGAGAGAGGTAGATAGAGAAATAGGGAGAAAGAGGCTATCGCCACCTCCTTGACAGTGACAAATGGACGGAGATTTCAATCAGTGAATGGAATCACCACTGGCTAACCGCGTCTTTCTCTTACCACACCGGTCGGCCGTAGCTTTTTACGTGTGTACGCGTATCCGTGTTTACCGTGCGCGGCCGCGTGGTTGTATTGGGACACCACGCTCGGACACACCTCAACCTGTCGCGTTGGTGACCGAACGGACGACTCCGGTCCAGTCTCGCGTTTGGGTCTCACGAGCGAGATCTCCTTACTAGCGGACTTAGCCCTAAGATGGATACCTCGTAGAGCGTCGTAAGAGGACACACCAACATTAGCCGTAGCAGTGCGTTGTCGTAAATTTTCCTGTAAATTACGTGTGTCGCGTTAAGCAAATGATTCACGTATAAATTTATCGCGTGTATAAATTGTATACAAATCATTGCTTCGTACAAAAGGTTTGTGAGTAAAAAGCTGCGCGAGTCGCTCCTCACGGACGCTCTATCAAATTTCAATTCGAGTCGTGCGTCGTGTAAACGATCGTAGGACGAGCGCGCTAGCACATGACTTGTGTGCGAGACGATAAGTCGGGAAGGAGATAGAAAAGCGGTTGTCCGCGATAGGGTCGGCGAGCGATCGTTAAAGCGTCTTGGGGAAAGCCGGGGCCTTCGTCTTCTCATTCGCGGCGTTCGTAGATAAAATGCGGAGGTGGGAAATGGGAAGGGTGGGAGAGGGAGGGAGGGGATTCGAAACGGCTGTTCTCTCGTTTCCTTACAAACGATACGCGGGATTCATCTCCAGGGCTTACCCTCGCCTCATTCTCTTCCTCCATTCTTCTCGGCGAATCCTCCCGCGGTATCCGTAACGTCGCGGTGCGAGCACGAGCCTTTGAACATTATCTGATTCGACGGAATCGTAAAGGAGCCGAATCGCTCTCCTCGCGAAAATACATTTCCCGGTTTTCCTCCCCGCGCCGATTCGAGAGCAGTTCTGGTAAAGCGGCCCTTTCTCTCCGCCACCTGTACCCGATGGCGGTGGGAATCTGCTCGACAGGATCGATATTATTGCATGGAAAGCGCGCATCGGCCTCCAACTGTGAATATCGTATATAATCGAGAGAAGCGGAATATAACGTGTGGATCCTTTGATTTCAATGTTAACTTAAATATAAGAATATTATTGATATACGTCCAGGAGCGTTAATTATTTCCGTAGCGGAATTAAATTAAAGTTTAGTACAACACTCGGAGTTTTTCGGACGTTGGATAAGGCGAGATGAGCTGGAAAAAAAAAATTATCTCGGCGTATCATTCATCGCCTCGTTTCGCAACAAGACGACGAAGACTGGAGAGAATCGCCAGCCAGGGCGACGCTGCCACGTATCGGCTGCGGAGAACGTCTGTCGTCGTTGTCTTTGTAGGATGCCACGACGTGAACGCGAGTAGAAAGGCGGACGGCGAATGAGGGAACGGGGGTGGGAGGTGGGGGAGGGGGAGGTGGTCGTCTTTTCGGATGGAACCGGGTGTTAGCCGGTGCTCTCTTATCTCGCGGCGATCTGATTCTAATTTATAGCCGCGTTCCAAATAAACTAGTTTTCGCTGTCGTCACCTCGCTTCCTCCCTTTCCCCGTCGCCATGTGCGTGTGTATGTACCGAACGCGCCGGTGCGTTCGCAGGTCGGACGCGCTTATAATGCTGCCCTCTCCTCTTTCGGCCCTCTCGGACCAACACCCGCTCCAGTCCGGACCATCCTCGATCTCTGCCTCCTCCCTTTTTCGCCTTTCCTGCCGCACACAAACAGACGGGTACACGAAGGAGAGGAAGAGGGAGGAGAGGGAGAAAAAGAGTGCGCGTATGTGTGCGAGTCGCTCAGGTCGCGCGAGGCAGTGCCTTTTGTAGCACCTACCACGAGGCCGACCTCCTCCTTCGTTCTTCCGATCGTGGCCGAAAAGAGGCGATCAGAGAGAGAGAGAGAGAGAGAGAGGAGCAGGGACCAGCCGAGGAGACAGCCTCCGTGCAGAAATAAGTCCTCTCGCGATGCCTGTGCCCTATAATTGCCAATTAGCGCGAGGATGTTTAATCGCCATTAGGACGATGGTAACCGGCCGATCGAGGATCGGCCGGGCCCTTCCTCCTTGGGTGGACCCGCTTCTAACTTTGGTTGCCTTTTAGCTAGCGATATTTACACGATCTCACTGCATCTGCATAAAATTCGCGACCACCGTGCACCCGTGATCCGCCTCGGAGGTGCGAGAGGATAGGCGATCCTTTTAACGGCTTCGAGATTCCGGACGGAGGATCAGGTGTCCCCTTAATAAATCCTCGAACACGTCGTCGCGGTTTCCCGGGTGTCCCCGCTTCTCTCTCGCTCTCTCTCTTCCTTTCCCTTTCTTTTTCTCTCGATAGATAGGCCTACGGTTGCCGGTGCCTCTTTGAGAAACACGCGCGTTTCTGGAATTCCCGTACGACCTTTGGTAGTTTCATCGGAGGCGACACACTCGTCGTAGTATGCCACGTTCTTCTTTGTCCTCGACCTCCATTTTGCGAGACGCGACACTCGCTCCGAGCGTTTGTCGCGCGTACGGCCGTCCAGTGCGGACCGTGAGATCCTCGGGGCCGACGCGAAGACGGTAGCAAAAATAGATTTACGTTACCAGATGCGCGCAGTACGACGACTCGGTCGCTACCTGGGTAATCGGGGATAGATCGCCGGGGGCACACGCACCTTTTCGACCCTGACGTGGCGAGGCGTCGCTATCATTCACGTGATTTCGTGACTCGAACCGCTCTCGGCCTGCCGACGCGGATGCAAATGTTATTGATTGGGAATAAAAACGCAGACCGCGGTCGCATGGCGCGCTCCTACGTGCCTCCCTACCCCACCCTGAATATAAATCGACACGTTAATTCTAAAACCGGACAGATACAGCGAGAGAGATCCTATCTCGGCTTATTAAAAAAAATGACGCTCAACATTGCCGCTCGCTCCGGTACGATGATCGTACTCGTACGCGCGCAAGAGATCCTGCGAACGAGACGGCTCGTTATCCTTACGCCCTTACGCATTACCGCGTAAAGACTCCGTGCCTCGTGTAGGAACCCCAACGGGATTATTAATAAAGTTATAAAATAAACAGACTCTCCCGCTTATCTCGGATACGTTATAATTAAATCATTATGGAGGCGCATACAGGCCGCTGAAATTTCCGAGGGAATAACTCGTGTCGATACGCGAGCGGAATGTTAAGCTATTTCATAAAAATGCGTAACGTAAGGCGAGCTATCAGCGTGAGTTATTATTAAAATTCCCCGTAACCGGTGCTTTCATTGAATTAATGATTGTTTGATGTTTATAATTTCATGCGCCTGGGCTGTCTTCTACATTATGCAAGCTACCGCGACCGGCCACACGAGACCAGCGCAATAATTACACGATGGCGCATTGCTATTAGCGGAGCGTTCGCTGTCCCGCGATATCCGGTAACGGACAATTCGAGCAATGAAATTCGCGTTATCGCGCTCGCCTGCGCGACGTTCAATTTTCGTCGCTCCCTCCTCGGGGTATCGTTCTAAGCGCCGCGCGCGCCCGCGCCCGTGCGCGCGCGGTATCGCGGGTGTCGATCGACACGGGATCTCCGGCGCTATCTTTCCCGAGACCGCGGCTAAATTACGACGTCACGTTCAATGGTCCTTTCGACCGCTTTCGTAATCGGCGATCCTGAGCCGCGATTGTATAAATAAATTATAATACCGTCGCGCTATAATGCAAATGGATGCGCGCGAAAGGAAATTTGCTGTCGTAAGACACTTTAATCCGCTGTATCAATGATCGTTCAAACGCCAATTTATCGCGGATTCCGCAAAGGCGCAGCTCCGCGGTTCATTCGCTACGCCGTGTTTATAAATTTCAGATGAATAGCTCGAAATGTTTAGCCTGTATATAGGTACTATTTAAACGCTTATTAAATAGGTACTATTTAAGTACCCCGGTTTTACCGTGAAATAAGACGTTTCGCAACTTTCGGTCCGTTGGAAATGACGGGGAATGAATAAATAGCTTTTCTATGGAGCGTCAATCATGGCGAAGTCAATGGATATAAGTAGCTTTGCGTTTTGCAAAAAGAAAAGGCACTTCGATCGCAGGCACCGGCTTACCTCAAATTAATGACACGTGAATGGAAACTCTATTATCTCTCTCTCTCTCGCCCGCGGGTTGCAGTTCCTGCGAGAGAAACCGCCGTCTTATCTCAACGTCGATTCGACACACCGGGGCGAAATAATCTCTTTCGGTACGTCGCCGGTCGCGTATCCTCAATTTCGTATATGCAATCGCGCACTTTTTCTCTCCTCTTCCGCTTTATCAAATTCAAGCCGAGAAGGTCACCCGACGTTGATAGCGATAAAGCGTCGAGAGACGCTTTTATCGCCCACATAGATCGCTCGAAGTTTCGTAACACAATGGAAATGGAAGCGGAGGGGGGAGGGGGATGTGCGAGGCGCGGTCGCGGAGCGCATAAATGATAATCGCGAATGTTTATATATATAGAGAGAAAGGGGTGAGAGACAGAGAGAGAGAGAGAGAGAGACAGCGGTGCCTCGTCGGTGGTAACCGGCATGCATGTAACATCCAGATGTCATTGCGGAAACTTTCGAAACGACTTGCCGCATAATCGCGCAACATTTGTCATCCGGGCCGACGCGCGCGTCATTTCGCTCGCGAGTCGGCGCGGCGCGGCGCGACGAGGCGGACGAAGAGGACGAAGCGGACGAGAACGTGATGCGCGCGACAGGAACGGACAGGGAGGAACGAGGACGGGAGGAAAAGGGGACACGACAGACAGGATAGACGGGCCCGTATAGCCGTTTTGAAATATTCGCCGGGCGGCGTCGCCGCGGCGGTGCCGGGGGCGTCAGTTCCGAAACGTCGGCCAAAATGGATATTGGCGTCCCGTTTATAATCGTGCACCACGGAAATTTCCCCGGCGGCGCTCCGCCGCCGCGTATCATCGCGTGTCGCCGTGTCCGCATAATTGTTCGGCGAAACACGATTAATTCGTACGTGTCGCCGTATCGCCGTGAGCACCGATCAACGTCGCTCGGGAAACGTGACCCTCTTATTGTTGCTGCCGAATCGATTATAGGAGAGAGTCCCGTAATATTTCTCCATCTGTCTCGCTCTAAAATCGTAATTCGAACGAGGGGAAAACACGTTTCTATTCTTAGCGTTTAGCATTTGTACGTATAAATTTCGTGATTCTACAGTTTCAAAAACCTTAGAGACTCTCTTCGTCGAAACGGGGAGGGTAACTTTGAAAACTTTAAAGCAACGCGTTCACCAGGCAGGCGACGATACAAATGCCCTTTTCGTGAAAACTTTCACCAGTACGTGTGTATGTGTACTCATGTACATATAAAGAATGACTAGATTCGAAATATTATCTATATTTATATTATATTTAATCGTTTGATAAAATCGTGACTAATATTTCTCAATGTTTACAATGACCGTACAATGTACGATAAAAGCTTTGTGCCGGTACCATATATCGGACTTGTGAACCGAGAAAGAGATGCGGCAATATAGGCTTCGTGATTCTACAGTTTCAAAAATCTTAGAAACTCTCTTGATCGGAACGGGGAGTGGCTTTGACGTGAGGCAACGCGGTCACAAGGCAGGCGATGATAAAAATGTCTTTTTCGAGTAATGTAAATTTTAACAGATAAATCTTGCTACTAAATGTAAGATTAAAAAATAAGTACACATTGTGTTGTTTTAACATTTCTTTTAAAGTATTCTAATAATTTTACATCTGAGGTCAATTAACGTAAGAGCAATATGCTAAATTAACACATGAATGTGTTAAACGTTTAACAGAAAAATGTTAACCGGCATTTTCTTCAACAAGAAAAGACAAATTTTCCAACTGCGTATGTGCGCTCACGTACATATAAAGGATGATTAGTTTGGAAATATTATATTTATATTATGTTTAATCGTTTGATGAAATCGTGACTAATATTTCTCAATTTTTATAATGGCCGTACAATGTACGATAAAAGCTGCGTGTCGGCCGCAGCAATTGTGCCGGTACATATATCGGACTTGTGCACCGAGAAAGAGATGCAGCAATCGTGTATTGATTCGCTCGTGTATTGGTCCATCAACATACCTATGTATAAGGTTCCGCTAACGACCGATTGCAATCTCTACGAGCAATTTTTGATAGACGCCAATTTCAGCCGGTTTGGAAAGGAAAAATCGCCGGTCAGCAATATCGTTAGCATAACTGCATAAATCGTCGCGATTAAGCAAAAGTTTCACGCCGAGAAATTACGCTCTAATGTCCCGGAGGGTTGAGATTTACGAGGCATCGCCGTTATCAAAGTCCTCGTTGCGTAACTCGCGTGTCGTCCCAAATGCGCCACGCGAAAATAGTCAACAATTGCGGCGAGAACAGTTACGGGCGTATAAACGTCCGTTTAGCGCCGAACGTTATCGGGCGGTAATGGTCGGGTGAGCAGCGTGTTTTGCATAACGATCGCATTTTATCTCGCGGCACGTGTGGTTTGTCGTTTATTAACACTGACAATCGCTGTATCGCGGGGCGAACGATTATCCGTTGGAGTCGCAAAGAATGGCCTTACGATACATAATGAGCGGGTCTCCTTCCCGCTCCTCTCGCGCGCGGAATCTACATCTTCAACGTGCCGATCGCGCGGCGGCGGAACGGGGCACCGTCCACCGGCGTGAGATACGGTAATCGAGTATCGATAGGCGCGAACGAGTGCGCGTACGCAACGTCGGTCCCACCGCCGCGGACGTAAGCGCTCTAGTAATAGTTCGTTTACGAGTTTACAAAGGCATCGACAGTTTCATGGATATCGCGGCTATTTAAACCAATTGCCTCTGCTCGTCTAACGGTTTGTAACCATTACCGTGCGGCTTATCAACGACAGTATTAGGGCTTGGTGGAAGCTTTTAAAAAATAATTGCGCCGTAATTACGCGTTCGATAATCCTGTAACTTTGTATTAGTAACTTTGTACTGGCATTTGTTTCGTAACTCGAATGAGATACGGGAACGACAAGTCCCAGCAACGTGCGCATCCTACACCGCTTAAACGCGTCGAGTATGACGAGCACTCGAACCCGAATTCATCCCAAAACTATGAATACGTACACTGTACATTCTGTACAGAGTACATCGGGCAGGAACCTTCTTCCTGCTACGTGAAAGAGGAGAAAAGAGGGGACACGGCGGCGCCGATCTAAGACCATTTCTATTTCTCTGTTGCAGAATAAAGCGGCGCCGTTGAAGGAGAGGTCCTGCGAGGAAGTCCTGCGGCCGGAATGTAAATACGCGCTCCTGAGTGGTCTCGGGATTTATTAGCGTTATCTCGACTTCGCGTCAGGGGCGGAGAGCGAAAGAAGTGCGAGGCGTAAGAAGCGGATAGAGAGAGAGTGAGAGAGAGGGGGGGGGGGCAGCCAGGCGAGCAGGAAGGATGAAAGAAAGGGAAGGAGAGGAAAAGGTGGCCGTCTCTCCGAGATACATAAATCGTTCCCCGACCTCTGGGAGGCGCGACTTGGAAAAGACGTATGAGGGGGTGGAAGAGCGCCTGTGCGAAGCGGGAGTGCGCGAGAGAGGAGGCGGCTTAGAGGAGATTTAGGAATTAGGAGAATTACGTCAAAGTGCCTGCTTACGCACGGCTACGTACGGCGAAGCGACACCGGGGGCCGGGTAAGAAGAAAGTATGGGGGCCGAGCGCACGGCGGGATTTATGTCCGACGCGCTCTTCTCGGCGCGCTGCGAGCACGACGCTGCGAGCCGCCCGTATTTTCGATTTCGGTACCATCGACCGCCGGTTGACGGCTGGAAGACGGGCTTAACCCGCCCGGCGCTAACCCGTCGTCGAGAGGCGGGCTCGAGAGCGAGAGGGAGGTTTTCCAAGTTACCCAGATCGAGTGGCCGAACTCTCCGCGATCGTCTTCGGATGACGGTCGGATGTACCGCCGGTGTACATCGTCCTCACACGTACACTCACACACGCATCCCGCACACGTAACTGTGAGCCCTTTTCCTTTTTAGTCAATGTTTCATTGCCGATCGCGTTTCGGCGACGTCTCGGGATTCCCGGAGCCTGGGCACTGCGCGTAGAGAGTCATCGATTTTGTAAATAGGGGACGTGCGAAATCAACTTCGGGAATTCGCGTTGACGGTCTCGCACCGAGGATCGTAACACGTGTATACATGTACAATACTTCCGATCGAAGGGTGAATCGTTTGGGATTCCAAGTGTCCCGCGAATTGTCGGACGAACGATACGCCTCTTCTGAGATCGCGATGATACCAATCGCGAAATAACACACGGGCAACGTGCAAGGTAGCACCACCTCTTCGTTACGAAGTAACGGGGGGTTTTTAACGGTCATCGCTCGAAATCGGTCATTTAACCCGGAGAGAAAGAGAGTTTCGAGCGAACATAATACTTCGACCAAGTCGCGCGCGGCACGAATATCAAGAGAGGACAAAAAAAGAAGAGAAAGAGAGAGTGAAGAAAAAAGCATCCATCTACCTGTTGTAGGTTTAAGATGAAAATAGGGGAAAGACAGATCGCGTAGCGCATTACAAAGCTACTATCGTTAAACTTACCACTAACTCCTTTAATTATCCGAATGAAATATTAACGTATACCCGAATACCCGCATATAGAGATGGAATGATAAATAATACACCTACGCATTACACATACACACACACGGTGACACGCAAGTAACTCTAGGCCGTAGATCTTAAGGCTGTACCTACTACATCACGAAATTTTATCGGGGTGATGCGTCTTAAGGATTTTGCAGAGAAAAGGAGAAAGGATCCTCGCCGCAGAGTATACATCGCTGTATTATAAGTATAAATAAATATATATGGGTGGAGTTGGGGCGCGAGGCTTATACGCGTCTAACACCAACAGCGACGTGGGAGAGATACGATGAGAAATTGAATAATAATCGTTAAGGATCAAATTCGTCCCTTTTCGCGCGTCAGCCGTGCACTCGCGCATCTCAGGTGAAGCCGGGACAGCCGAGATATAAATTCCATATGTATCTTTTTTTCCCCCCTAGTACGTGTTACACTTGATTGTTGCCTAATGCTGTATTTTGTTGTATTTTTTGCAATTATCCATTTCCTTTATAAACAATTTTAAGTTTGTTGATAGATCATTGCGTTGATCAGCGTTGTACTGTACGGCGTTAAGGGAAAGTATATTATGGTTTTACTCACAATTTTTACGCGAGGACATCGCGAATGTGCAAGGCATGGGGGGGTGTAAATGCGGCGTGCACGGTGCTTGAAACAAAAAATTGTTGATATTTTTTTATATTATATGTATATCGCGCTGATCGTCCCACTTTTCGTGAAACCGGTTACGTTGGTGGTGAGAAACCAAGGGACGCGCGGTACAGTATCTTGCGCAAAGCGCGAGCAACTGTCGGGTCGCGTTTTGAAGAAACAGAACAAAAAGAAAAAAAAGAAAAACGGGAGAGTCGACTATTATTTTGTACTTTGGCGTAAACGTAAACGGGAGCTCGCGCGAGTCATCGTCGGCGGTTGGGAGGGGGAGGGGGGAGGGGTGAGGGGAAGCGTGTCGAATGTAACTTGTACATTGTTTTGTAAAGAATACATTTATTTATATCTGTGATAACGGGAGAGTTCAACGGGGGAAGAAAAACGAGGGAAAGCGATAACGTAAGGCGTTCGCGGTTTCGGTATACTCTGACGAAGACGGTCGGTGCTCGTGCATTCGTTGACACGTATATCATAGTATAATTATATAGATAACGATAACGTTTTTTTGTAAATAATCAGAGAAGTATAGGGAGATAGAAAGAAACGGAAAGAGCGAGAGCGAGAGAGCGAGCGAGAGAGAGAGAGAGAGAGAGAGAATGGAAAGCAAGGATAGAGTGTACCGCTTTGTGGGCGGTTTTAACTAACAAAGGCTAAAAGGGAGGAGTAAATAAAAAAATTATATAAATATATAAATATAACGCACGTTTTGTGTACATTGTCGCACCTTCGTGAGAGAATCTATTTGTTGTGAATAGTACACGTAATACAGATATACGCTACGATTTAGGTTTTATTCGCTTGTTCGTACGGATTCGACTGTAAAATAATTAAACTGTACATAGTCCTGAATGTGAATATAAACAAAAAATATATATACATACGTATGTGTGTATATATACATGTATATATATATATTATTACTATTGTCACTATTATTAGTAACATCGACATATTATTTTTATTATAATTTGAACATTGTCTGCTCTATTATTATGAATTCATATTATAAAACAGTAATAGTAATAATATGTCGATGTTTATAATAGTAATAATAACTATATACACATATGCATATACATATGTATTATTACTATTATCATTAATTATTATTATTAACATCGACATATTATTACTATTATTTTTATTATTAATTATTGTCCACTCTATCATTATGAATTCATATTATATTAAAAGGAAGACTATATTACGTTGTACATGCACGCTTCATACTTTCTTTCTCCGTCTACCTCAATACCGCATTATGAGACATTATTCGGCGTTACTTTCCTCCGGTATCGGCGTTATTTGCAACGGCGACGAAGATTTATGAATAAAAGACCACTTTAACGTCGTAGCACGTTCATTGTCGTTAAAAGAAACCCAAGTTTCACCATCCTCGACTCGATAATCGTCCTCATTCAAGGTTTCGCAGGTCGCTAGATATCCCGCAAATCGTAACAGCGCTCGGCATTCGGCCAAGCCGTACCGAAGGTTGCGCACGCGCGCGCCTGTTTGCGAAAACCTCTCCGAAACTTTATTTTCGGCGTTCTGCAGATTTAAAAAAAGTCACGGATGAGTTGTAAGTCGCAGCACGCGCGCGCTGCAACACAGGAACCACATTGTGCCCATTCTAACGTACCACAATGGACGTCTCCGTTTTGAATATTCGAACAATGGTACTTTCGCGGTGGGTGGAGTTTCAATGAAAATACGGGGAGAGGGAGGGAAAGAAGGGACGGGAGGAGGACAATGGGATCGCGCGCCACCCCTCTCCTTCGAGAGCGGTGAAAATAAACTATTCGGTAGTTTGCGAACACGAGTTTGCACCCGGTTAAAGTTTTGGAGATACGGCGCGGACGATAAATATTGGAATAAGTTGCGAGGCATACTTACACCCCATTACGAAACGTCTAGTCCTCGGCGCATTTTTAGCGACAGACTTGCCGCCATATGTAACCGCACGTGATTCCAATTATCGGTTAACATCAAACACCAATTTGAAATAAGAAACGTTCGGATCCCTCTTCTATTAATAAAAATCTGCCGTTAATGAGAATCTCCGAACTCTCCAACGAGACCACCCTGACGGCTCGCCAAGGGGGACGGACGCTCACCTGACCCGCGTCCTTCCGGTCTGTTGGCAACAAACACGCACTTGCGGCACGCACGACCGTCGACGATTAAAACGATTCGAGCAACGCGAGCGAAGTGAGTTGATTCCAGCAGCGTGAGGCTGCTCCGTTTCCCTTCGTGGCTCTATATATTTTCTTATGAGGGTAAAAAGTATTTAACACACCCATATTTAGGGGAATAAATGCTCCTCAATCGTGACTGAAGAAGTACTCTAGCGAGAGAAGGAGCGTATAGTTACATGGCCAGCGCGAAGATATTACGGTAAGTTAATTTCCGCGCATAGATAATCGCGCCGGCCTATTATTCACCGCGTTGCGTGCCGTTTCTTTTTTTTCTTTTTTTTTTTCGTGAATCACGCGGTGGTAATACACCGATCGCGCGTCGGCCGACCGCGCGCGTGACTATATTGCCGTATGTTAAAATCCTAACGACCATAAATTGGGCAAGAAAAACTCGCAGGCGGCCGCAGCAGTCAGCTAAGACAAAGGATTAGGACCTGCAATTCCGCAGCAGGATATAACGCTATAAAGTCATAACATGTCGTGACTTTTTTATTCGGCCTCGGTCTCTTTCTCTCTTTCCGCCGCTCCATCACTCCTCCTCCTCCTCCCCCCATCGCTCTCCTCTTCTCGCACGAGAGTACCATCGGGGTATTCCACTTGAGTCGTATTGCCGCGCCGCGGCCGGGCAGATGCCAGGCGAGTGAAGTTTACATGAATCGGCCATATAACAACGGTCCTATATCATTTGACAAGAAATATGAGATCTCGCGGCCAGCGATGTACGTACGTACGTACATTTAACGCGACGTATGTACACCGCGAGCAAATCTTCCGTGTTAACGTTGCCGAATCGCCCCGATCCGGAATGGTGCCGCGCGACACGGACGGCCGCGCGTATCGATACAAATATTTCGAGAGGATGTATCGTTGAACGATAATTCGGAGACGTCGCACTCCCGGCCTCCATAAATCTCCCCGGCGCACACATATATAATTGTATCGCAACTTGTTTTCGTCGTCGCGGTACACGTGTCTGAAATAAATGCCACCCATAAGTACGGATCGTGACACATATAATTTGTATAATCACCCGCCGAGAATACTTTGCTGATAGATTAATGATTGTAGCGCTACGAATACTCTCGCGAATTAATATTCATGAATCCCCCTCCCTCTCCCCCCGTCCCACCGGGTCTTCCTCCCGTGAACGTCGGTACGTGAAATCTCGCTCGATCTCGCGATCCGCGACTCCTACGACTACCACGAGAATAACAATAACAGAAGTGATATTAATAACGGCGGGAACAACAAGCAAGAGAGATGAGATCGATAACCCCGCGTCGAGCGGCCGGGCATTACCATAAATTTAAATGTCCTCGCGCTTTCTGCCCTCCCGCCCGCCCCCACCCCTCCTCTTTCCCCTTTGCGGTCCCCTCACGATTCTTCTCGTGCTCGCCCCCTTGCCTCCCGCGCACGAGCGAGCATTTCCCCATGACCGCCACCCTTTTTACGGCTTACTTTATGGCAAAGACTCAATTTGGCCACGGCGGTTGGTGCGCGTTCTCCGGTGACTAATATACCGGGATGCGCCGCGTGGGGTGCAGCGGTGATGCATCGTCCGCGGTGCCCCACGTATGCCTCCTTCTCCCTCGGGGAGATAGGGGCCTCTACGGGACACCTTCGTTTCCAACGCGCGCGTACGCATTTTTACGAATGGCTCCTTACAAGCGGACCTCGTTCCTCTCTTTACGCTGCTCCACAAGATCGTTTAATATCTCTGATTCCCCCCTAACGACCTTTACGCCAGAGCGTATATCGCTTTAACGCTGCGCGATATACCATCGTTCTTTGCCGATACCACTTGCTGCAACTTAAAAAAGAAGAAACAATCATATACTTTGTCAAATTCAATTTCTAAACGAAAGCAATTTTTGACTAGAGAATTAATTATCTCAAGGAGAGGATGCGCGACGACCGCGTGTATTGCATTTAACGTTGCTTACGATCGTATTGTTACTTCCACTCTCTTATCTTTCCCCGTGTCGTAGGGTACTCGATCCG